ATATATTATATATACAAATTGTTTTATTCTTTAGAAAGCCAGTTTCATTATTTTACCATTAAAAGATGCTGGGTCAATGTTAATTGCAGCTTCTTGTTTAAACTTTTCGTTGGCGTTCTGATTACACTGGAACAATTGCTAATTGTATTATAATTATAAAGCAAAGTATAATTCATCGAATATAATAAGCCAGGTATATGATAATGCAAACGTCATGATGAGCCAAAATGGATGAGTACAAACCCTGTTTCAAATTAATAAAAAGTGACTTATATGCATGACTACAACTACAGTTTCATCTTGTTGGTTCAAAATTGATATAATAATATTGTTATCATTTCCAAATTTTTTCATTTCACTAATGCATTGAATAATTTTTTTAGGCGTTTCCTTTAAATATACAGACCATACTCTTAAAAGACTTTTAGACCAGAGGTGAAATGGTCATTTAGAAACAACTCGTATTATTTAATTCTGAAGTATTATTTTACTTATCTAATAGAACTCTTAACTTAGAGGTTTCCACTAATGATTCAGTCGAAGTCTCTGGATTTTTATCTCAATGCGTTAATATAAATTATATTATATTGGCCATTATAATTATGAGATATTAATAACAATAGATTTCATTAAATAAATAGTCAGTAGGAGTACTAATATAGGTATTAAAAATTGTATAGATTCCACAATAATTATATTAAAATATAAAAGAAGTAATAATTCTTTTGATTTGATAATAATTAAAGGCCGAGAAACTAATATCAAAATTTAATCTCATCCTCAAAAAATCATCGATGGTACGTAAAACCCCTACGAATCTTCAAGATTTTTTAGTCGATACTAAATTGCAATTTAATTGTGACAATTAGAGTTCCTTAAATAAGAATTATTGTGAAATGATTGATTACTTTGTAGATAATTTTTTGGATAGAATTGCACAAGATGATTATAATTTTCTATAATATTTTAATACAATGTCCCCCATTGACCCTGATTATATCAAATAAATTGGCTCCATTAGAATCATTATCAATGGAAATGTTACTTCATGAAATGGAAATAGCAAAGGAATTATTAACTGCAGAAGTTAAAACCACATCATTAAAAATATCCTAAATATTATATATAAAAAAAATTCCTGCATTTAAAGATTTGTATTAATAATCAGCCGCCATCATCATTGAGGTATCATTTGCTTGTGAAGCGTCATCTCTACATAAAGAGTTCTAGAGAATCGATGAAAGAGTCGTAAACACAATTTAGTAACTATGGCTTATGGAGAAAAAATAATTCAGAATTTAGCTTTTAATTCATTTATGTTAAAATTTAAAAGTAAAAATCGTCGTATTTTATCATATTAGCATTATCGTGTTATTTTGTATACATTTACATTTATAAATTTTTAATAAAAATAGCAAAATATTCATATGAGTGCCTAACTATTTGTTTTATTTCACAAAAAATATTGTCCCCTCCCATAAGTAAACAGCCCCGCCCAACATCCCCCCAGCTGAAAATTATTGGTTATGACTCTGTATATTATTAGTTTTGTTGTGATCATTTTATACTAAATTAATCTATTCTTCTTTTTTTTGAAATATTTATTACATATGATCCTAATGCAAGTTAAATATGAAAGTAATATTCAAATTAAAACATAAATTTAGGAATATTTTTAAATAGTTGATAATTAATTAATTATCCAAAAATTTTGCAGCTTTTATCTCTTAACTTAGTCCTATATAGTTAACGCAATTTGAGACATGTCTACTTCCAACATATTCACTTTTGCATTTGGTCTTTCCTTTTAAATTAAAGTATTCCATTCTCATCTTCCAGAGAGTTGCAAGTTCAGGACCCTCCTAGTCTCGGCATAATCTCATTTCAATCTATTCTTGCCTATTTTATTTACCACTGCTACCCCTTCTTATTTATAAGTTGTCGATGTATTAAGCTTGATCCAACATCTATATGATATGCATTGAACATATGCCCACCTTTTCTGAAATAGTTATCGTGTCTAAGGCGAGAATGAATAAAGATGGGACCCACGAGGATAATCATCATCGATAAGGACAACAATAATTATGATCATGATGAATTTATTAGATTATCTAAAAATCATAATAACCCTATTGAGATAAATGCAAACTTTAGGTCGTTTGCAACAACTAAAATAGAAATATCTATGATAACCCTGAAGAAGTAATGATATGATATTCTAAATTAAAATATTTTTTTTCTGATCTATCAGCGAGCCTCAAAAAAAACATTTTTTTAGCCGCCTAGTGGGCAAAATTCCCATTTATGTGGTATGGAAAGGAAATAATATTTATTAACGTTAAATTGAATAATTTTCCACACGCCTACTCCCTTGGTTATACCTTATGAACTAGTTATATTTAACATTTACATATTTTTATTCATATTTTTTTACAAATTTATTATTAAAGTTTAAGAGTATAATTTCCACCCTCCACAGACTTATTGAAAATAAAAATTAAGAAGTCAAAAATCGATAAAAATGACATATTGAATGATTCTAGTATTAATACACTGAAAATTTATGGATTCATTCAATCCATGAAATTATTAACAAATATATAAATATATAATCTAACTTGGATTCTCACCAAGATGAAAATATTTATACCGATTTTTCTTATAAATTTTTTTTAAAAAAATACACAATGGCTAAATTTTCTGAATTAGGCAAAGATGCGTCTAATTCCAGATGTAAATCCTTATTCCAGAAAATACTGCGAATATCCTTAATATCTCAAAATTTATTTAAAATTTTATTATTTAAAAGGCACTGCTCTGGTTATTAAACGATTTAATTTTTCCGAATACTTTAGCAATTTATAAAAAAAAAATTTTGACTTGTATTTTTTTTATAATCGTTTTAGTTGGGTTATGATTATCTTTTACATAATATTTATTTTTCAATAATGTAGTTAATTTAATATAATTAGGCTTTATTTTCTGAAAAAATTCAAATTATAGTATATAATTGTTAATTATTTTTAAAAGTTAAAAAATGTATTATATAAATACTTATATTTTAAAAATGTTTATAATTTATACCTTTTAGATGGGCTTCACTTATTTTTTTCAAATTTTTTACATTATATTAATTATATAAACTTTATTACACATTTTTTTCTGTAATTATAGTATTTTAATTATTTTAAGAAGTTATTAACTACCATTCATTCATTTATTAATAATTATTAATTTAATAATTATTCATTCATTTATTGAATAATTAATTAATTCATTCATTTATTGATTAATTAATTAACATTTATTCGTTTATTCATTCACTCATATAAAACCTTTTTAAAACCAGAGTTGTTATTCACTACTTTTAAAAGTAGTGCGCTACCGCTATCGCTATTTATCAAAAAAAGTAGCGCGCTATTAGCTACTAATAGTAGCTAAAGCTACTTTTTAAGCTACTTTTTTTTAAAAAATTTAGAAACAAATTAGTTTTATTTTTTTGCTTATAATGTTAATGTATATTAATTATATAAAAATCAACATTTATAAATATTAAAATAAAGTTAGTTTTGATTATAAAAAAATTTTTGTAATAAAAATAGTAATTTGTTCATTTTATAAGTTTTTACTTTGTGTTACGTGTCCAACTCTCTGCCGTGGTACATATATATGATATCTCTGATAACTCTACTATTAGAGCATCTTTCATCACTTTAAAGTTATCTGCTATTTTATTCATTAGTGTCTGGCGACATAAAATTGTTGTACCAGGGGATAGTTTTAATCATCATGGTAAATGATGGATTATCAACCAAGGCCACTGGCTGAACTGTATTATATTATAAAATCAACAATAACTTTATCAGCCAAATTCTGAGAAATTGGCATTTGTATTATTAATTAATTTGGTTTGAAATGAAGTAGTCTTTTTGGATGTAGTGTCGCCTATACCAAAATTATTTAGATGTTTCTCCATATTCTTAAAACTATTGGCATGAACAATCTTATAAAATAAATACTATTAGAATGTAAAAATGACAATTTACCTTTAGGTGTTTCTTGAGGTTATAACTGGATTGATTTGAGAAAATATTTTTTTACATTTTAAACTAGCAAATTTGAAGATAGTTTTGGTTTTTATATTTATTTAAAATATTTTATAAATCTAGGGAATGGGAAATTTGTATTATAGCTAATAAGAACATTTTCTTCTCTGGTATCTTCCATTTCATTAATATCATTGTCTGAATCACTTTCAACGATTTGGATATCCATAAGTGATGACATTTTAAATTATTAACTCGGATTTAGGTTCATAATACAAATGAAAATATATTTCAATTTCAACTAATAAATCATAAAAATTATAATTAATTATGATTTTATATTTAAATTTTCATGTTTATACTTACCTTCATTATATTTTTTAAAAGTAGCTAAGTAGCGCAAAAAAACTAGCGCGCTAAAAAATTAAATAATTACAAAAAAAAGTAGCCGCTATTAGCTATAGCTACCATTAAAGATAGATCTACAAGTAGCTCGCTACTTTAACAGCTCTGTTTAAAACTATTCATGTCAAATAACAAAATTAATAAAGAAAACAAATATATCGGGCTATCGTTAATTAAAAAAAATTAGGTTATTTTTAAATTATTATATTCAAAGAGAATTTACTATAAGATTTAATATTTCTAATAAATCCAAAGAAGACATTATCAAACGAATGCAAATAAAACATATTGTTCAAAAAAAATAACATTTTATTTTATTTCATAAATTTATATATATTTTTATCCTTATTTTGTATATTCTTAATTTAGTCCATGATATCGCTAAATTAATAAAAGAAAGTTATTTCAAAAATGGTTGAACATAATCTAACTCCATCCGTAACCAATTATTGATCATATGCATTGCACTGAAACTTTAAAAAAAACTTTTTTCCTCCACAACATTTATATTAAAGATTGGTATTATATGATAAAAATTATTTTTAGGTTAATAATGGAAACAAAACGATACACTTCTCCAATGCTATACAGACAAGTAAAATCTAAAATATATTATTTCTGGTTATATCTAAATGTATTAAATGAATGCAAAACTATGTATAACCCATTAATAAACGTAATATAATACGTTTACATCATTCGTAGATTTTTCCCAGTTATTTTTTATAAATAGTTTTATACCAAATTGAGAAATGTAATATATCAGCCTAGTTCAAAAAATATAAAATAATATTTACATACACCCGGTTTGCCTGATTTAAGAATAAAATAATTACATGACAAGGAGATATTTAACTTTGGGGATCGAAGCGGCTTACTTCTTTATATAATGGTTTTTATGGAGTGGGAGAATGGAAACGAGCACACCTAAAATTTAAATTCAAGATCATTATGTGAATAAAAATATTAGCTAAAATGGAATTATTAAAACAAATTTAAGATTTATACAACAATAGTAATATTCGGCTAGGTATAAATCATAGATATAATTAATACAACTATTGTACCTCTATCTATAAACATTTAGTTTATTTATAAAACTTTTATGAACAGGTACTCGTATCACATGGGAGCAAGAGGGGGGGGTAGATTACAAACAAAAATGGGAGAGGGGGGGGGGGTAATGATAAAGGCATTCTTGCTAAATTTTTATGGATTCTTTAGCTAATATAGAATAATTTCTTTTCTTGGTAATTTTTATTTTTATTTCCTTTTTTGCAACTTTTTGATTCGAATTTGTATTTTTATTTGTTTGAGGGAGAGGGGTGAGAGGTAGTTACAAAGTGAAAGGAGGAGGATAAGGTAATATTGTTATTGGATTAAGGGGGGGGGGTTAAATGAGTGTCTGTATATGATTATATTATAAAAATATTTAGAATATAATACTATTTATAATAAAATTATTAGCAATAAAATTTCTTAAATAATTATTTAATAACCAATTTAATTGGCCATTAAAAAAATTAATTTTGCAAATTTAGGTTTTTATTTGTAGTTTGATCTTGTGCACTTATAATTTTATATCCTTACATCCTTAGTTTCGGTCAAAATTATTTAACCAAGCCATATCGTATCTACTCAACCGTACAGACCTAATTTTGGTTATATTTTATCTCTTGGAGTGTATAACTATTGACTCATACCTAGTGTTGTTAAACGGCTCATTTTGAGCCGATTTTTAAAAAAAGCTAACTCAATATTTTAGCCAGAAAAATATTGTTTAAGCCTCGAGATTTCTATAATATATGTCTGGAACTTTGTTCCTCCTATGAGCAAATCCTTTAGGCTTACGTAATATTTTTCTGGTAGAAATATTGAGTTAGCCATTTTTAAAAATCGGCTCAAAACGAGCCGTTTAACAACACTACTCATACCTATCTCCTATGTAATATTCTTAACTCACATCTAGCCTTTATATAGACTATCTCTTACGTAATATCTTTAATTCACATATGGCCTTTATATAGACTATTCATAGTTTAAGTGAAGAAGAAAAAATATATTATACAAAGAAAAGGGAATTTAGCACCCATTTATTGAAGCCCAGCCCATCCCCCTTTATTAAAATAGTGCATTAATAGGTAATTTAAAAAAAAAATTTAATACATTACATACCTAGGCATTTCATTGATGCACTTTTTGAAGGAGCTAGAGATTATTTTATTATATAATTTTTATGTATTTTATATAATTAATGGGAGTTTAAATAGTATTTTGAATTTTTATAATAAATTTAGTTGGCCAATATTTTTTTCCGGGTGATTTTTTTTACCAGGGGTTTTTTCAAATATCAAATTCAGAAAACGATTTATAATTTATTACCTTTCAACCCGTTTCATGTTAGATATCATGTTTACTAACACTACCTCTGCCTGAAATGGGAGAAACTTTATACAAGTATATTGAGAGCATCAAACCTTTCGTCGACAAAAAATATACGAAAAAATTGGAAGATTTTGTAAAGCTTGAAATTGGCACGCCAGATGGGATTGGACAAAAATTGAAGGAGGAATTAAATAGATACTCTAACGAGCACATTAATTGGGTAAATAATAATTTTACTAATTATTATCTTTAATTGAATTAAATATTCCTACTTTTTCTTCTAATTTACCTTGCTTTGCATCTCGATTCCTAATTTGGCGCTTGCTGGGTAGGATAATAAATTCAAAATTATCATTAAAATCAAATTTTCATGCGAAATCGTGAAAGATAGGTAAATATATAAGAGATAATAAGTATAATAATTTTAATTAATAAAAAAATTAATGATATTTTCCGTCAGTTTTGATAAGATTTTCTGTTTCTTTCTAAAAATAAATTGAGTCTTCTATATAAATTATATTAAAAATGTGCATTTTTAAAAAAATAAAATCTAGGCTTATGAACCTTGGTTGCGTGAAATGTATTTAAATCAAAGATTACCTTTACCCATAAATTTCAATCCTGGAATGGTGATGCCAAGACAAACTTTTGAAACATTAGATTCCTTTTGTTGGTATATTAATTCCTTATTAACGAATATATTTGTTTACAATGAAACCACATAGGATTATCTATAAGCCCGAGCCTATATTGGGAGTAGTAGTTTTTAGGGGTCCTGCACCCTAAAATAAATTAATGCCATAACACCAAGGAAATTTTACTAAAAATTATATAATGGCGATCATGAATTTAAACCTATACCTCTTTGTAATTTTTCTTTGCTAGAATTTAATAACTAAAAAATAAAATTTAAGTCTCTAACTCCAAATAGAGTCTGAGATACAGACCTATTTAGGTAGAAAAATGGGGTATTTTGGGCAAAATACTCTGCCTTTAGTTTTAGATATATTTGGGTATCATTGAGCTAGATTAGAAGTGTTATTTAAATTTCTTTACATAGCCTACCATTAAGCTTTTAAAGATAATTAACTATATAAAAAAAAATAAGGTCAAAAAGCGGAAACGCATATGATCAAAATAAAATCTGATTTTTCTTTCTTTCTCTCAATGAATGATTAGCCAGAATAAATCATTAACAATTATCGTAAAAATTTGCAGATACTGCTGTAAAAAATTAGATGCTCATTTCCTTCAACATCCATATTTCACGAGGATTTTATTAATGATTAAGTTATTGATGGTTACCAAATTCATGGACCCTAGTAACGAGAAGACTATTTTACAATTGAATTCATGGAAAGGGTGCTTTATCCTACCCAAATATTATAAGGTTGATTAGTTTTTTTTCGATATTATATTATAGGTAATTTAAAAAATTTTATAATTCCGACTAAAACAGTCATATAGATAAAAACCATTATTAATATAGATTAAAGGAAAGTTCCAATTGAAGAAAAGATTAATTTTATGCAATCTCATGGAATTATATTATAATTAGGATACTCCTAATGATATAAAGGTAGGCTTAATATATTTGCAAATACAAGACCAAATTTTTTAATTTAAAATTTATCAAAGATATTCCTGGGTGCAGTAGCTCAATACAATAATTTTAAAAAAGCAATAATCTAAGCCATCATGAACTTGATTTAGGAATCAAAGTGGCATGAATTTTTTTTGTAATAGGTCATGTTAAACAGGATTGCAGCAAGAGTCAACCTTGAGGATCCATATGAGTTATACATCTTGGATTTATTTAATTATTGTCAAGCAAATATTGCTGGAATTAATTCGCATATGGATTATGAATATGGAAAAATATCTTGTTCTAAAGGCTGCATCCATTCCTAGCTTATAAAAGTTTCATGCGTTTATGCTTAGGGAAAATTTTGTGTAATTATGAGAGGAAAAAAATTCAATTCTTAAAATAAATTAGCCAATGCACCCTCCCCCTTCAAAAATATTTTTTTTCCCCAGATCTTTAGTAACTATTATTTAAATAATAAACATAAAATATTGTATATCTTTTGATTTATATTACAATTATATTATAATTAATATCAAATATTTCTAAAGAATATTTGCAAATTCTTATGATTAAAATTTATATCTTAAACTTGAGCTCAGCCCAACTTGAAAATTTGCACATTTATTAATTAATCTAATATTCACACATAAAAAAAAATTTGAAAGAAAAATGCCTAATTGATATTCCTTTCCGGATTTCTATTTCAGGTTTTTGACATCTAAAAATTTTTAAGAATATTTAACATTATTTTACTTTAAAGGCCTACTATTATGCTATATAAAGAATATTAAATAAAGCTTCTAGAAAGATATATCTGAAACTAAATAGAGTGTATTTTGCCAAAATTTAGAGGCCCATAGCTCAGCCGCTCTTTCCTTTTCTTAGTTATAATATATAAAAACTCATGCAAAATTTTTAAAAAATTCTGAAGGGGTCGGGTTGAAAATCATGTATTTTTTGGTGATTTGTCATGGAATCCAGCATAATCATTTAGAACAATCTAGTTAATAGATAAAATGTGTGTATAAATTTTCAAAATTTTATTCCACCCCCTTCCGTTTTTTCAAACAAATATAAATTCATGATTATGGGACTGCTTACATTTGAAAAGATTTTATATAGATGACAGTCAAGGATTTATAAGAAAGTTAGAACTAGTGAAGACTGAAGACAATGTTCATTTAATTAATCAGAAATTTATTTCTTCTTCTTCGTCTTATTGACTAAAAATAAATTTTAATAATATATTTTTTCTATGATTTTAAGCTAAAATTCTGCACCCTTTCTTTAAAATGATAAAGAATTAATTATTATAGTACTACGATCAATGTTCATTAATTATTTTTTTCTTTGATAATCATATGTCATCCATCATCTCCTTTTTAAAGTTTTGTTATATTGATAAAGTTATCATTTAAATTGTGAAAAATTAAACTATTTCAAAAAAAAATTATAAATTTATTGATACGATTAGGTTTGCAGCTAAAGTAATAAACGGCATCCTGATTTTCAAAGCTATGATCGAAAAGTAATATTTATATATTTTAAAAAAAAATTCAATCCATTTATACTATGCTATCAGTGGCGTAGACAGCATTTTTCCATCAGAAGGGGGGGGTTTAAATTTTATTGGATGGGGGGGGGGAAGGAGAGGCTCCACTCCAAACCTTTTGTCAGTTTTCGACCGGTTTCCCCCTATAAACAATTATTATTTTTTCCGTTATCTTTATCATCTTAAAGATACTGGAAGCACTAATTCTAAAATATTCCAATGTTTTGTGCCTTATTGGTTTCTGATTTTAGCCAGTTTAGTCAGGGAAAAAAAATTAGTGATAACAAAATTTTGGCCAACTTACCAATGTTTACTGCTTAATTGTTAATTAATTTAATCCGTTTGGTAAACAGTCGAAAGAAAAAGAAAATTGGCATCATAATAGAAAGAAAAATATATAAAAAAACTATATCTGTGGTTAGTAATATTTATTAACTGATGAAAATATGAGGACCACAAAAAGAAACTGAGTTATAAACACAATGAAAGCTATGACATCATTCTCAAACTTATACTAATCCATTAGGTATGGCTATATTAGTACATTGTATTGTTTTATACAGTAGATGATTTCTAGGGAAAAAAGATTATTGGTAAAAAATAAAATTTTTTGGCAGAATAGAGTACTCTTTGAGACCAAAAAATGCTTTGCAGGCCCTTTTCATGTGTAATTGCACTTTAGATTCCCTGCCTATAACAAAACATTGCCTTTTATTTTAGCTACCTTACCGAGTAGCACCTGCACCAATGAAAAGTCTTTTTCAACTTTGAAAAGGTTAAAAACCTATTTAAGAAACAGCACCGGTGAAAGCGGTTTAAATGGATTCGCAATATTAAATATTTATAAGGATATTATTCTAGATAAAAATTTGATTTTAGGTGAATTAGTCAAATCTCAGTGAAAAGTAGACCTCTCTTTATAAATTCAAATTGATGAAAATTTTTATAAGTCATAATATTTATATATTATACTAAAAATATTTTGCATTTGCAATAAGAATTAGTGATCTACATCGGGCCTAATTTTTCAAGCCCGGCCCGAAATTATTTTTAAAAAGTTTTGCCGTCCCGAAAAAATTTTTGTCGGCCGGCCCTATAAAAACTAGATGTGCCATATATAATATATCTTTTATTTTGAGTAATTATAATAATGAATAAAATTAATACATAAAAAATTTAACATAAAATTGATATATTTTAAAAAATTTCCAAGGCCCTACCAATCCGGCCCGAATTTTTTTAAAAAATATTAGGCCCGACCCAGCCCAATCCCGATTTTCCTACTTTTGCAGATCTCTATTAAGAATTATTTATGTTTTATTAATATACTCATTTGAATAAATTATAATTGTTAAATTAGAATTTTTTTTAAATACCGCACAAGAATTACTCATATTTTATTGTAATTTTATTTTTTTTAAATACCGCACAAAAATTACTCATATTTTATTGTAATTTTATTTTTTTAAAATATAGTTATTTAGAATAAATTTTTATATAATCTATATAAAATTTCTACATTTTGTATTTTATTTTATATTATCATTAAAATAAATACATAGTTAAATAAAGGGGTGTATAAATAAAACCTATATTCTCTGCAAAATTTTATTATATGCATATTATTTTTAACGTGATCATAAAATGGGAGGTTTTTTTTTTTTGGGGGGGGGGGGTGGGTTATTTTTCTTTCTTTCTACATCGAATGGATTGAATTAATTTACAATTGTCTAAACATTGATAATTTTTTAAGAATAATGTTTTCAGTAGTGTATTAATCATAAATTTACCCAACTTAGTAATATTTTTTTCATTTATGCTGGCTACTATAGTGGTTAGACACTAATAAAGCACAAAATATTGGCAAATTTTTCCCCCAACCCCCCCTCCAACTTCCATAGATCAATCCTGGCTACGCTACTGAGTCAGCCAAAGATATTTATGTCTGATATTTATGTTGTGCGTATTTTATACTATTTTTAGACCCATATGGTAGATAATATAAAGAAAAATATTATTAGCAAAATAAATAATTAAAATGAATATCATGCCAGAAAAATTATAGAAACATTAACAATATATATATCAATCAGTTTTTCCAGTAAATAAGTAAAAACCAGTTATAAGCCAAATAAAACGGCATGCCCTAGAAGTCATAGTTTATAATTAGAATATTAGTAATATCAATTCTTAATAAATAATGGCTATAAATTAAATTTTAATTAATTATAAAATAAATTAGGTGTTATGGGGGGGAGTTTAGCCACAAAATCTTTCTCTGTGCCACTGTATAGTCTAGCTATACTATCTGATAAATAAATTTAATAATTCTATAGTTTCAATATGAAGGAGCTGTATTTTATATTGTTCAAAGAAATAAATTAAATACAGATCTCGTGAGTGAGAGATATCATCAACATTTATGTATGCAACAATATCAACATCTATTCGATTGCTATCGGTGTCCTCGTTTAGTGCAAGATGTATGGCTATTTAGCAAAAATAAATCCAAACATATAATTGTCATGTATAAAAATCAGGTTATTTTTGAAATACTATCCTATTTTTTTAAGATATAAAATAAATAACGGGGATTGGAAATCTATAAAAAGTAGCTTGACCAAAGCAACTAGTTTTGTAGCTGTGTCTTCCAAGAATTAGTAAGTATTCTTGAGCTTATAGTTTAGCTACCTTTTTTTATAAGCAGCGTATAGTTATTACTAGCTATAATTTATTTTAAAGCAATTCTGTTATACTTTAAAAAATTTTTGGTGCGATCTTATTTTATCTACCAATCCCCTACCTTTATATATATATATATAAATATATATATTTCAATAAAATCTTGTAAAAATTAATGTGATAATATTATTAAATCTTTACAATGCTCTCTTGCCTTATTTTTTTTTTTAAATTTTAAATAGCCGTTTGAATAGTGATTTTTAGACTCAAATAAAGGAAATAAGTATTTTTAAGCACATTTTAAAGAGTTCATTGTCAAAATCATTATAATGTTTTTTAACAGAATACGCTTCTAAATAAGAATTCATAATTAAGAATAAAAATTAAGGCCAGTTGGGTACAAGTAATTTTAACTATATAGAAAAAAAAATATTTATGCCTAGTTAATATGCTGATTTCCTCTTTATTACTTAATATGAAATATCCTTACATTTGAATATATATATATATAGATTTACAAAGTGGAGATAATGGATGATATGGAAATGATAAATATCCCCTCATTGAAAAGAGTCCTAGAAAAATTAATTACTGATATAGATAACGATAACGATTTTAACATATCAAACTCCGTATCTTATTTAACAACTCTACCTCGAAGTGACTGGGCTCTTATCAGAGATAAGCTATTACTAAGTTAATCATATAAATAAAAAAAATTAAATTACATAAATTGCCAATGGTAGTTTTCACGTTCTATAATTTTATTCAAGATTTTATTATACAAAAATTTAATCTATTTCTAATTTTTTTCCCCCTTCCATATATATCAGTTATATCAGTGTTTTTTATTATTTAAAAGTGGGAAACGGTTGTAAATAAATTTATTTGATTGAGATAATGCCTCTTTTAATTAACGTTTAAATCGAGAACTTAGAATTTTCAGGGATTGGAGAATAATTATTCTTCCAAAACCGTTTCAAATGTTATGGTGCTGTCCAAATAATATTTAGTAATTCTGGACAACATTTCCTCTCCTCACTAGCACCTCAATGGAATTAAACAAATTATTTATTAAGTAAAATAGCAGGTAGTGGAGACTGGAACTTGTTGAACCGTTGAGCGTGATAAACAGTTTGATCCAATTTTTAAATTAATGATGGTAGGATATTTAAATTGGGCTCCTATTTAATCACTCTATTTAATGAAATTTTCAGAAAAGAAACTCCTTAAATGCACATAAAAAATACTAAATGCTCAGAATTATCTCTTAAAGCTCAGATAAAAAACTTAATTACCCAGAAAAATACTAACTAATCAGATATAAAAAAGAAACGTTCAGAATTAAACCCGAACCGGTTAGAAAGATATATGAAACACTCAAAACTATTCACTTAATTGTTCCAAAATATTTTTTTCTTACTACTATTGATTTTAAGAATTTGTATACTATTAAAAAAAATATTGACCCCTTCTGGTTCACATGACTAATTACATAAATTGCCAATGGTAGTTTTCACGTTCTATAATTTTATTCAAGATTTTATTATACAAAAATTTAATCTATTTCTAATTTTTTTCCCCCTTCCATATATATCAGTTATATCAGTGTTTTTTATTATTTAAAAGTGGGAAACGGTTGTAAATAAATTTATTTGATTGAGATAATGCCTCTTTTAATTAACGTTTAAATCGAGAACTTAGAATTTTCAGGGATTGGAGAATAATTATTCTTCCAAAACCGTTTCAAATGTTATGGTGCTGTCCAAATAATATTTAGTAATTCTGGACAACATTTCCTCTCCTCACTAGCACCTCAATGGAATTAAACAAATTATTTATTAAGTAAAATAGCAGGTAGTGGAGACTGGAACTTGTTGAACCGTTGAGCGTGATAAACAGTTTGATCCAATTTTTAAATTAATGATGGTAGGATATTTAAATTGGGCTCCTATTTAATCACTCTATTTAATGAAATTTTCAGAAAAGAAACTCCTTAAATGCACATAAAAAATACTAAATGCTCAGAATTATCTCTTAAAGCTCAGATAAAAAACTTAATTACCCAGAAAAATACTAACTAATCAGATATAAAAAAGAAACGTTCAGAATTAAACCCGAACCGGTTAGAAAGATATATGAAACACTCAAAACTATTCACTTAATTGTTCCAAAATATTTTTTTCTAATTTCAATTATAATATTATGTTATGCCCCTCCCCCGTTGTCTTAGTCATTGCCGGTTCCTCTAACTACAAATTAATGGTTAAGCGGGCTAACATTAAATAATGAATCTTTTGATTTGTAATGGGGTAAATTAAAAATTCAGTATATTATATTTATAACTTTCCCTAAAACCTATTTTGAAAGATATGAAAATTGAATGTAAAATTTAGAATATTTTATACCCAAGAAAATACTAAATTTCCCGTTTGTCATAATTTTATTAATTATTCTTGGAATCATAACCGACATATAAATCTATTTAATGAATCCAAACCCAACCTGGAAATTGTTATATATTAATGTATGATTTAATATGTTATGTATGTAACCGAGTCAAAGCAAACCAATATTAATGGTTCTTAACTTTCGTACCATTTGATATTCTGGGAAGTAGGGGAGACTGGGGTTAGGAAAACTAGGGGGGGGGCAAACCTGTATGATTGGTATTTAATTTAAGCTAAGAAATCATAATGTCTCCTAGATCCTTATTTTTATATGTCCAAAATATTTATTAAATTAACAAAAATTAAGTTATTTTTATATATAATTAGCTTAATTTAAAAGTATTATGATATTTTGAACAATAAAATAATAAAATTATTCTATACTTGTCATTATTAATAAATAACTATAGACTAAGAAAACTAATGGGTTAGGAAGCCCCTTGCAGCAATTTACCTAACCCCGCTATTGAGGCTTGCTGGGCAAGATTTTAACTTTCGCAAAAAATAAAATTTCAAATATATGATTATTTTTTTTAAATATATTTATAAAGCACCTTTATAGAGTCTAGTTATAGGTATCAATTCATAAATTGTTCCTTATAATATCTAAAAATATACAAGAGTTATAGCAGATTATTCAAAAATCATTTAATATCTATAGATACTAATAACTAAACACTGTATAGGAATACTGTCACAATTTAATAATATATTATCATTTCATTTGAATAAACCATTAGATTCCCTGCATTTATAATAAACAAAAATGTTATTTTTATTCCTTAAGATTGATATTTATATAATAATTTAATATTTTATTGCTTAAATTTTATTTATTAAAAAATTTGGTCAAAATATATATCAAAATTAAAACATTTTTATGATCTTTTAAATAAATTGAGGACATACAATAAATACTTGTTTTCGTTTTCGTTGCATTTTTTAAAATAATTCATTATTTAAACCTGATTGCTATATCAACATGGATAAAAAATTCAATTGTTACATTGATATTCAACACTTAATTTCACCAGGATTTGGGGGGGGGGGGTTGAATGTTTTTTAGTATAATATTTCAATATGGGTATCAAGTAAAAGCCAATAAAGATCAATTGATTATATTGATATTCATCTCTTCAATGTGGGTATTTGGTAGGGTTGGGGTTAAAAATATCCTGGTATAATATATCAAATGAAAGCTAAGGAGATTAATTGGCTAAATTGATTAATATCACTCTACGTCTTCAGGGTGAGTGTGGTAATATTTTGAATGGATCAATTGAATATATGAAAATTATAAATTATTCGTGGGGTGAAGAAGCCAAAAAAATTCTAACATAGTATTTCGATATTAGTATTTTATAAAGCTAATATAAAGATCAATTGATAACATTGTAATTTTTATCATCACTATATCTTTGGGCTATTCTGACATTTCAAACATGGGAATAATTCCCTATACTTTTTTTGATATTATAATTAAACTGTTAACTATTTTTTAGAAAATATGTTAACTATATTACTTTCACAAACAATAATAATTTGCTAGCCAAAAAATTTAAAAACTAAGAATAAATAGCCAGTAAAAATAAATAAAAATGGTTGCTGAATTTATTTATTTTTTATATTTATGGCGCCATACAATATTCTAAATGTTCTATTTTTTTTGGAAATTTTTTAGGGCCAAAATTAGCTCGGCCAGAAATTTTAATTGAAAAATATAAATTATATCATATTTACAAGGGTATTTACAAATTACTTTCTCTTTGCCTTAATTCCTCGGAATATTATAATGATGATTTATTTGTTTTTCTTCTTCTAATAATTAAAAAAAAGAGTTTAAAATTTAGAAAAACAGTTTTCAGACCCTGGTCTAGCCTGGTTTAATTATTTATTATGTATTCCTTCTTAAGATTTCATGCAGGGTTTTAATTATGTGTTTTTTTTAAAATAAATAAATATTAGATAATAAAAATCGCACCTCTTTAAACGCCATAGAAACTTGCCTATTTTGTCTCTGTTTGGATGAAGAGATTGACGAAAGTAAAAATAACTGTATTGTGGTATGGAATATTGTTAACATATTTAAATTTATCTTAGATACTTTCGCGTTTAAAAAAAACGTTGCGCGCAACGATGAATCCCTATTCTTTCAAGCTATTCATGGAGGTGGAGTCACGAACAATTCCGGAAATCGTTGGTTCGATAAAACGATTCAAGTAAAATCAAATACAATGTTAATAATAGTGAAAATATTTTTTTTTAAATGTAGGTAATTATTGGGAAAGATGGATTCTATGGTTTATCGTATGAACATTCTGTTTGCGAAGCTTTAGTCATAATTAGACTTTTTGAATTCGTTCTGAAAAATATGTAAGTTATCTCAACAAAAATAAATATTGCAGATATTCTATACACTGGTAGGTTCTAGGTCTCTAAAAAAAATTGTTGAATCCAATCCCATTTATCAATACTATTGATCACATCCACTATTCCATATTTTAAATAAATTTTAAAGCCATCCAATTTTATATTTTATTTTTTTTAACCCAGGTTCAAATTGAAGCATCTATAATTATTAATTTTAATAAACGATTAAGTTGTAAGTAATGGATTCACAAATACCTAATTAATAAAAGTATTTTTTATTGGAGCAATAATAAAAAATGCTAAGGGGTTGGTCTACCCATTAAAAATTCAAATCGATGAAATCGCTGATATCTCTGAGCCCCCGGTTAATAACATAGTTGGCATTGGCCCCAATATTTTGCACTACTTTTTGTGTTTACAATCAAATTATCAAATATATTATGTCATATTAGGTTGGAATTTATTGGTAACAAGAACATTAGAACGATCTTTAGACCTAAAAAAAAGCTGATTTAACCAGAAATGCATTTTAACATGTACAAGAAGTATACCCACATTGTGATTTTCTTATATAATTTTGCCTAGGTTTGAATTAATCTTAATTTATACCCATTTTTATATAGATTTTTTTTTCGTATAAATTAAATTATACAAAAGTTCATGGTAAAAATTGTTTGAAGGGATGCATTTCCGGTCAGATTAGATTTTTTAGATTTAAAAATGGCCTTGTGAGATTCCGATCCTCTAGATTCCATATGCCAATACGACAAATATATATGTTAGTGGCAATGTGTTTTATCCGATCATTATTTTCAACTTTAAATCATTTTTGGAGTGCGTTTTTTAAATTTAAAAATCTGATTTTATTGGAAATGTATTCCACCATGTCTGGAATACCTATCTTATGAATTGTAGATAATTTTCGCATGAACTTTAAAATTTAGTATAATTTATATTAGATTTTCCACATATTTTTAATATAAATTTTAGATGACTCAAAGATTAACAGAAAAATTGTCTATAATTCATAATAAAGGTATTCCAAACATGATGAATATATTTCCGGTAGAATCCGATTTTTAAATTTAAAATAAAAACATACTCAAAAATTAATTTAAAATTGAAAAAATAACAATATTGTTGAAAAAAACTCATTGACACAAACACACATATATATATATATACTAAATTCAATAATATTCAATAATCTTTTCCACTTTTTCCTTTAGCTTTCACCTTTTCTGGTGGTAAGCTCTTTCAATATCTCTTTCCATTTTACATTTTACATTATTCATACAATCCATTTTATTCAATTTATATTTAATGATATTGGCTATAAATTAAATTGCATATTTTCCATTCATCATTATATTACTTTTAAAATCTAATGGATAATATGCTTGTTTTTATCCTTTTGATATTTACTATATTATTTGTTATAATTATCATTAGAAGGGATGATGAAAGTAACAAAGATATGATTATAAATTCTGATCCTGCAATGGCTAATAAACTGTTATGGAACCTTAATGTGGAATTGCAAGATTCAATCATACGAGCAGTTGAATTGTTTCAAATGTAAATTAATATAAAATTATACAGTATATGTATTGAAATTAATTTGAAAGCCAAATTAACCGACTCAACGCCTCAATACTTCATTTTGATAATTTTGGCAGGGAATTTCCTAAATCCCAGAACTGTAGTCCTGATGGTTTCATTCAATTGGCCCTACAGTTAACTTATTATAAGTAAAATTTAAAACAATTTGATAAACATTGAATATTTATGACATCGTTTAGAATACATAAAAGAATAACTCATACTTATGAAAGTGCTTCTTTAAGAAGGTTTATCAAAGGACGAGTTGACAATATTAGAGCTGCACACGAAGAAGCATTGGAGTGGGTTAAAGTAATGGTGCAAGATAATGAGGAGGTAATACATTAAAATTTTTAATTTAAAAAGAATATTTTTCTAACATAGGATTTCTTAATCGATTTATGACATAGAAAAAGGATATATATATGTTTATGATGTACTTATTCTTAGTCTATTAAAAAATAATAATTAAGCATAAATAACGCTTATTTGTTCATAATAAACAATAATTGTAAATGTTAAAAATTAAAGATTCAGAATAAAATCGATTATTTCCAAAAGGCTATCGAAAAGCAATCTAATATTATAAATCAAGTAAATTTAGTGCATGGATAATATTAGAATCTGTTATTCGTGCTTGCAAATTTGTCGCATATATTGTATATTTTTCATAAACTCATACTCGTTATATTAATATTTCCTTGCCAGGCGCGTAGCCAGGAATTTTTTACAGGAGGAGGGGAGGGATTTTTATATTTGAAATGGTATTTTTTGGAGCATTAAAAATTTATTAGAACTCTAATCATAATATAAAATTTATTAGAACCGATCATATTTGAAAATATGATAATTTCCAACACAAATAATAAAATATTAGAAAATTCAAAATATTAAGAGCGAATATATAATATACGGTTAAAAAATATTATAGCTATATAAACCGGTATGTAAATCACAATAAAATAAACATTTTATAATGATTTAAAAAGTCAATCAAAATATCATTCATAAATAAAAATTTAATCCTATTACGCTAATTGTTTAATAAATTGTTCTGTGTTCTGGATTGGATCTCGATGAGTAAAGCTAGTAAATTCAAATCAATTTTAAGGTGGACTTTTGATATAGGCTTTTATTCTCTGTATTTGTGATTGTACTAATTGATACAATAATTTTAACATATTTGGAAAACTTATAAAATATATTTTAAAGTCAATGATTCCACCGTATTTCTTTATCTAAAAAAACGAATCCGTCATACCATTTAAATTCTGTATCTAAGAATAAATTTAGTTAAATATTTAATTTTTCAATATCAAGATTTGATATATGCTCAGATGAGAGGGAGTTATAAGATAGTATTTGTAAATTATATAGTTCATTGATTCGAACCAAAATTAAATCTAAAAATGAAATAAAAATAGTTAAATAGTATTCCTCAATTGAGTCTAGAACTATTTGGTTGTCAGTGAAGGTCGAGGCTTGTAAATCTCAATATCATATAATTTCGCTTTCATCTCAATATTCACATAGATCTCGAGAAACTCCTGGTCATTATGATCTCTTAGTCTTCAAAGTTGTAATATAATAAAATTTGCGATTCTCATAACTTCAGCCAAGTCCATTTTTTTGAAAAATATTGCATAAATTGTTGTGCAATTAATAAATAACTTATTAATACATTTCAATGAAAAAAATAGGCGGTCATATTAAATCTAACAATGTATCTTCAGATAAAATATCTGTTTCAGTTAATTTTATTTCTTCAAGGGTATACAAAATAGGCTCTTCTAGATCCAAAAAGTGCTATAACAGCTTGATGTCTAATATTCCATTTTGTCGTGCAGGCTTTTTGCAGTTTTTTCCCTGTAGCACAAGAGGTCTTAGAAATAATTATAATCAGTAAATTCTGTCTATTTAAATATCTGAACATTGATACACTCTAGAAATTTCCTAATCATAGTTATTAATAAGACATAAATTAATTAGATTTGTTTTTGGGTGATAAAATTTTCTTATCCATTAGTGTTTAAGGTTTACTTCAGATTTTCGTGAGATAAAATATTAATACATAAGAAATAGATATTTAAATTAATTTTAACTTTTTGCTAATATTTAAAATGGAATATAACCTATTTGTAAAAGAACACTTTGCAATTCACAATTCATGAAGCTCTTTTATGTTTTTTAAAAAATTCTTGTTACTACGCGCCTAAGCCTTTTTATATTTTTTCAAAATATTTTGTTCCCTGGCTACATGCTTGAACCCTGCAAATTCCCTTTATATGTTTCGCAATTGATCATTATAATTACTTATATATTTATGAAGATGTGTTTTTATATTATCATGAAGTTGTTTGTTACTTGGTTATTGAAAATATAGTGTTTGAATACCAATTACAATTGTCAATTAGGAAAAGTTTTATCTATTGATTCCCTGATTAAACTTTAGAATTGCGACAGTATTTATTTAAATAAAATCAGTATCCGACATTCGCATATCTATAATATATATTAATTTTTAGTATTAACGAATGTCTTTAATATATCGCGTTTGTAGTAATTTCTTAGGAAGCCGAATATATGATTCAATTTTTATTTCATTTTCTTTTCTAGCTCTCTTTCTCTCTCTCAGTAACTCTTTTTCCTTTTTATGATTTCAATAATGTAATATTATGTTACTAAAAATATGTTGAAACTGTATATAATATTTTTGTGGAAATCTACTAAAATCAAGTTAATAAGAAAAGGTTTAAGATTAACGAAAGAATTTTGACTGTAATATCTATATTTGAATATCAACAAATGGCATTTAAAAACGATATCATATATTGGTCACGTGATTGTAATATAGTGTTATTGTGCAATATTAAGAATTGAATATTTATATCTAGTAAATAAAATATTTTAAATAATATTATTTAAAATTGAAAAAATAAAAAATTCCATAATTTTACATAATTGCATGAAACACCTATTAAATAGTTTATTGATGAATCAAAATATTCTTAAATATCACAAAAGAGGCTAATAATAAATAATATAGATATGAGATAAATACATGGTAAAATATTTAATATTAAGACAATCAATGGATATGGCATTGACAATCATATGCTTTTAATGAAAACGATTGGGGAAGAAACAGATTTAAAATTTCCTTTATTCGATGATAAGACGTACGAAGATTGGAACTATTTTCGACTTTCAACAAGCCAAGTTAAACGAAATTCAAAATATTTTATTACTCGAAAAAAATAATTATTCAAAGTATTTGATAATTTGTTATAAAAATCATAAGAAAAGATTATCTCAGCCATCATTTTAATTTTCTTCGAAAAATATATTTAAGGGAAAAAAAACTGTCTGTGTAAAATTGTGAAATCAGTACTTATCGTAGAATCACTACTGGAATGATATTTTGCTATTATAGAATCACTATCAGTTATTTTTAAGAGATGCGATTATTAGAATTATTTTTTATATAATTTCTATAATGGAAAGAAAGAATGAAAGTCTATTTCATGCTATATTATTAATATTTTCTTAGTTTACAATATATATACTTTGTATCACAATTCTTTTATCTTATTTTCTTAAATTTTCTCTAATAATATGTTTTTTAAACTTTTAATTTTATATATATATAATAAAATTAAATAAATTAACCCCATAATTTTTTTTTCTCTTTAGCTTTCACCATTTCTGGTGGTAAGCTCCTTCAACATCTCTCTCCACTTTATGTTATTCATACAAATCTCTTTTATCTAATTTACTTCTTTATATTGGCTCTAACTTATTGCCCCATTGAAGTTTTGACTTTCCTCTTTACGTTTGTCCATCACTTCCAAACTCTCAACCTTATTTCCTATGTAGTTCATAGGCCTTCTCATTGTGTGCCCATACCACCTTAGTCTGTTTAACATTAACTTAGTCTTAAGGGCACTACCTTTAAACTACTTAGTATTCTTGTACTGCGCACTGGACCATTGTTATATGGTCCATATACATATCCTGTATTATTCTTATATATTTTTCGGGATCCTTTTTGTGGCGTAGCGCCCACCAGATAAGTTTTCTTGGAAGAAGACCATGTATAGCTTTTTGTTCATTTCCCTGTATTTTTCGCCGCTCATTTGCCTAATTGCGTGGATTGCATCAGTTGTTGATCTTCCAGGCATAAAGCCAAGCTGTCTCTTAACTTTTTTTTTATTATTTTTTCGTAGAGTTTAAGACAGTGTGACATTAGTTTTATGCCCCTGTAATTTTGACAATTGTGTGGATCCCCTTTATTTTTGAAGACAGGAACTAATATCTGCCTTCATTTTTGAGGAATGTCTTCATTTCCCAGTATTTTATTGTACAGATTTGTGAGGAGATGTATTCCATCATCTCCTAGGGCTTTAAGGCTTTCTATTGGAATATCATCTGCTTTGTTATTTTTCATATGCTTGAGGCATGTGATTATTTCTTGTTCGATGTAGTATGTGGGGATTAAAGTTGATAAGCTCCTGAAAATATTCTTTCCATCTATTCATTATTTCTTTTTCTTTTATTATCAATTTCCCATCTTTATTTTTTCGGAGCTCCGTTTATATCCCTAGAATTCTATTCATATCGTCGTATATATTGGCACAAATTTAATTTGTAAAAAATTATTCATTATAGATTTCATTCCATTCAATTATAATGGCGGATATTTTAGATTTGTAAAAAAAATTTGTTTGCAATAGATTTCATCGCTTCAAATATATTTTTCAATCAGACCTTTTATAGTTTGTGTAGATATCTATAATTTTAAAATCATTAATTATAAATTAAAAATTTTGTGATTATTCGTAAAAGTTTAGGTTTGGTAATATTAATCACTACGATAGTGACACAATAGACCGAATCTATTTTAGAATCTCTACCATAGTGTTTTTTAAATAATAATGATTTCACAATGCAGCAGCTGAAGAAAAAAAGGGATCAAAAAATCCTGAGATTAAAAAACTACGGAAAAAAAATAATCTATAGGAATAAAAGTTTGTCGAAAACAAATCAATATTTAAAAATCAAACAAATATTAAAGGTCAAGAATTTATACTTATATATTTTTTTAATTATACCCCTCTCTGTGTTCATATATTTTCATAGGCCCGTCAAGAATTTTTTAAAAAAGGTGTTTTGGCCTGGCCCGTAAAAAGAAATTGGTTCAAATTTATCGGCCGGAGGTACGTAATAATTTTATGTGAAGGAGAAATCATAAATTTGCATTTATTCGAGGTTTAAATTATGTAGAAAAGTTTTGGGGGTCGACCCGGAAATATATTTTCTCACAAATTGCCCAGATTAAAAAATAGTTTGCGCTAAGAGCTCGGTGCTCCGATTTTATAGCTCCACCTGCTGACCAGGCCTTCGAGTGAACCGAGCTGTACAGATCTCAGACGCCTATTTTCTCCACCGATATCATATTTGACGAAATTAATTAAAGTTCATAACAATTCTTTACCTTCCAAAAGTGAGGTTTTAATGTCTTTCTCTAAGAAGTTTTAGTGAATTGTCAATGCGTTATTCATTATAACAATTTTTTTAGTAGGAATTGACAGGAATCATATGTGGAGATTATGTTTTTATTGAATGATATTTATTTTATACAATTACAAAATTAATAAGATTTTTTTTTTAAATTCTAATTCTTGCAATTATTTTTTTTTGCTAATAATATATAAATTAATCATATTTTTTTTTTACTAACAAAATATAAATTAATCATATTGTTAAATAAAAATAAATAGACCAATTGCTTTGCCATAATTCTAAAGAAATTATCATTTTATATTAACAAAAGGAGCGAAAACATCATCTTAAATTTTTTTCTTTAAATATAATGCCTGGCCCGATTTAAAAAAGAAATATATAATAACCTCAGCCCACCCTGCCATTAAAAATTTTAAGTCCGATTTAAGTTCTCTATAATTCAAGTCGACTTGAGGGTCTCAACCGAGATGACTTATTCTCTACCACTACCTCCCCCCCCCCTCTTTTAAATCATACTTATCCATACATAATTTAAAAAGATAAAAGTAATTTTTGTTTTATATTCTATTTTTAAATATCTATAACAGATTTATTTTCCTCATTCCTATACAGTTTAGGCCCAAAGTTTTTTTGAGATTTCTCAAAGTTTTTTTTCTCCGTTTTTTTGGTTGAGATTATTTTGGGCAGTAGCCTTTTTTCACATTGCATCCACCTTCAGATATAGTGGATATTCGATGAAAAAGTCTTCTAACTCTTGAGGGATATACTGGAGCATAGCAACAATTCATATAAACCTTTCCTTTCAATATTCTATTTTACTTTGAACTATGCTTTTGTGGAGTTTCGTGCGTTTCATGCATTTCTATTATATTTTAGGATATATACATTTTTAGGAAGCAAAACATATATAAATTTTAACACTTATAGTTTTTTTAAAAAAAAAATATACGTATAATAATTTGAAAACAATTTACATTAATATATAAATTAATTCAAAATAAAATTTTTAATTATTGCAAGTTTTAAATAGTATTTTATAGTAAAAAAAATGAATTTCTTTATTTATAATTAATTAAGGTTATATATCAATAATAAATATCTAAAATATCAATATACTTAATATAGAAATTTGAATGACATAGAGCAACTTTAAAATGGGGAAAGGGGGGAGCTATATCCCACACAACCCCTCGCATTATTTTTTATCCATCTTACCTCTCATTTCAAGTGTTAATAATTTATGAACTAATAAATAAAACAAATGGGCGGCATTAGTCGAATTAAGTTTAATTGATTTTTTTTTCGACATTCGGGCTGTTTTTTTAATAAGAAAAAATGGACAGTATTTAAATTAATTGGGTAATATAAAAAACATTAAGTAACTATTTAAAATTTTTGGTCAGTTAATAATTAATTTTCAAGTTTTTTTTATTGATTTGGGTAATATTTAAATTAAATAGGCGAGTTTTAAAATAATTTGGTAGGTATTTAAAATTTTTGGCCAGCTTATAATTAATTTTCAAGTTTTTTATTAACTTGGTTAAATTTTTTTTTTTGAACATTGTTGAAAGTGTGATGAAATCCAGATTTATCTAATTACTATGAACCTGGTATTGTTATCTGAATTAAATTTAAAAAAATACACATGCTGTTATATTAGTATTATTCCTTGTTTTGACAAATCAATTAAATAGCTCAAAACCAATCTATTTTTTAAAAAAGTCTCTCCGAGAAATAGTTGTTCCTAACTGTTTATTTTAAAACTAAATGACTATAAAAAACAACACATAATACAAAGTGTTTAAATATCTAGCACTAATAATGCATTAGAAGCAAGAAATATGGTAATTAATGATGAAAAATAGCAATATTTATAGTTGTTTTATATTAAAATTATTGCTAAATAATTAGTAGAAAAATGGTCTATGCAAAAATAAAATAATTTATGGCAAATCCAATTTATTTAAAAGCAAGAACTTGCGCATAAGTTGAAGGCAATTAATCAATAAGAAATAAATTTGTTAAAAATTAAATTTGGTTGGTAAAACTGCCAAAAGCATAAATGATTTAGGGTAGGAATTTATCATATTTAAATTACTTATATGTAATAACATGACATTTTTAAATTATTTCCATTTAGATTTGATTAATGAAACGTTCAATTTCCATAATTGATCTCATTTTTTGATATTTTATTTGTTAATTTAGCAATTTTTTTTAATATTTGATATTAATCTTGTTAAACATGCCCGATTTGGGTTGATTTTAAAATAAGATTTTGTAAACCTCTATATTTAGCAAATAGAGGTACAAACTTTTCTGTAACCTATAAACGAAATTTCCAGGCTTATATAATATTATTTTGGCTAAAATCTTAATTGGGCAGTTCTTAAAAATAACAACACTATTAGATATGGTAATTTTCATATAAAAGATATATTTGTATAAATATTAAACAACTTTCAAATAAATATTGAAAAATTTTAGTTTGTAAATCAACATTTTTTTTATTTCTTCTACCATTTAATATCTTATAAATACTTCCCAATTTATTATTATTTCTTGATAATGAAAACATTGCCCATTTTGTATTAATTTTACTTGCCTTATAAAAAATTATAGCCATTTTTTTTTTTGAAAAAATGACTTATTATTTATTATTTTTCACTTCAAGTAACTTCATTTAAAAGTTGGAAAATTTAACATTTCAAATTATGCATAAATTTACACATAAATATTTCCTTCAAAAAAAATGCTTCAATTAATTATGAAAATAAAAATGCTAACATTTTTTGTGCCACGGATTGAGCTTTTTTAAACCTTCGTGTAACCTCCCACAGATATCATAGTGTAAAATTTTAATCAGAACTATCTTTTAGTTTTTTTCTCGGGTCGTTTGCCAAATATCCTTATGTAACATGGGTAAAACACGGGAAAGTATTTTTCTTTGTTATCAAAAAAAAGTCTAGTTGAATGTGATTTATTTTTTGATATATCATAATTGTTTATTTATCATTAAACTAATAAAGATTCCCACACAAGAATTATTTTTCATGGGGTATGGTCCAGTTGTTCTAGATGGATATGGATGTTCCTACAATCCTCATAAAGATACCATAACATTCGTGATTACGACCTTCAACGATTGTACGACAACCGATATAAATAAATTTAGAGAAAACCTAATTTCCAGCTTGCTCGAAATGAAAGAACTTTTATTGAGAAGATAAAAATATACATAAATCTCCAAAAATTAATAAGCAATATAAAATATATACCATATTAATGTATATTACCTCATACAAAATGTCTTCAAAATTTATCTATATTAATCATAGTGTATATATATAAATATAAGTATCTTATAATATTTTATCTTGGTGATAAACTGACAATGAATATTTAGTAAATTGTAAATCTGTCTTCATTATTAAGTTCAATTATAAATGAACAAAAATATATGTTTAAAAACAGATGATATATAAATAATATTGGCAATAAAACTAAAGTGGAATAAACGCTGTGATTGATTGTAAAATGAGATTATAACACCCCCTTCCCCCCCTTTAAAGAACACTTCGAGAAAGAAGCACTGGTAAAGAAACTGGAAAAAAATTCCGATTTAAAAATAGAAAACTAGCTTAACTATTTCAATTGCTTAGACAGCAATAGCCTATAAATATGCGAACATTCTAGTCTTCAAATGCTTTATTATCCAGACATCGATACATTTTATGCTTCGAATGAATATTAAGATTTGATATACTTCTATTTTTGAAAGTACTAAAAACACAGTATGTATCAAAATAATGTAAAATATCTTTTGCGTGCAACGATTGAGTTAAGATAATATATTCAACTCCAACCTAATAATAGTGGCTCATTTCCTGTGCTCAGATATTTTGAAAATACGGCCCAATATCTTAACAGGTATCCAGGTTGCAAGCTATACTATATATTGTAATGAATACACTTACTCTCAACCCTTCCTGTAATCTTGCTGCCAGAACATAACAAAAATATCAGACTTATACACTTACATTCATAATACAATTTTAACATTAATTTGAAAACAAGGAAACAATATAATCCAAAACATTGTGAAATTTTCAAGATCAGTCCAAATCATCCAATATATTCCGTGCATTCTTGATCTCTTTGTCCTCCCATACTGTCATCACGTGATCCACATCACCCTTCTCTCCCCAAGGAAAATTGATTCTTCATGTCAGAAAAATGACTGACATTTAGTATATTATATTAAATTTATTTCTTCTTTTTTCTAACTGCTACAACTTATATGATATGGTATTAACCTAGAAATTTGCAGGGTGCTATCTGACCCGACATGTAATATGAAGGAATACGACAGAGCCTAATTATCAGCTTAAAAAAACATTTTCAAAACTTTGAACAGACCAGGCCCTGCCCGGCCTTTTTCAACAATTTATAAGGCAAGGCCCAAAAACCTTTGCCGATCCACCGGCCGTGTGATTTAGGCCGGGCTGTGTTGACCTCTGCTTTAACTAATGTATCAAAATCATAAAATATTAATAAAATTTTGGCCTTTTGAATGCTAATACTTTTTTGCTGATAATTTTTAAAATAAACAATTTAAAGCGAATTGGATTACAACATTAGAATTTAGAATAATTTACCAAGTTTACCCCAGCGGTAAATCTTCTTTTCCTTTATAAAGCTTGCAGAAGATCTAAATTAAAGTTAATATATTTCATGCGTTATATTTTGTATGAAACAAGTTTTTTCGAATTAGTGAAATGGATAAGTTCGTTCCAGTGTATAGGCCTTATCAAAGGTGGGAAAGTGGGATCTTTCTTAACCCATAAGAAATTAGCCTGTTCTAGCAAATATTATACAATATATTATTATAAATAATTATTTGAAATAAAATTCAAAACTTTTAGAAGAAATGTGCAAAGTGAAAACCGAAAATGATATTTTATATAAATAACATAGTCAAAGGTCCAATAAGTAGACCTAAAGACTTCCAATTAAATTTATGGCGGAAAACCCTGCTTAATAGCGATCCCTACAAGAAATTCTAGCTATGTCTATGCTCTTGGGCAAAATCGTGATACTCATAAATCTGTTTATCATTTAAATATTACAATTTCATTTAATTTACATAAAAATATTGATCAACTCTAAATTAATAGAGATCATCATCATCGAAAAGATAGGGCAAATATAATTGTGAAGAAACTTTTCCCTACTAAATGCTTAAACCTTCTCTTTGAATTGCTTCTTTACTAATTGGAGAAATTTTTTACAATTGACTTATTATAATCATCACAATGTATTTTAATTTCCTTTGATTTATCAAGGGGATTAGAATTATAGGCTAAATTACTATATATATTTTATTCGTCGTTATGTTTCGGAGGAAAATTATGACTACGTCAGATGGTTTGGAAAAACAAACCCCATAACTTACTTCGTGTTCTTTTATTCCATAATTTTGTTCAAAGTATAAAAAATCATTCAGCTAGTTCAAGGAATAGGCTCTATGGATATTTGCCCAAGCAGGGCTAACAAAATTTTCTCTCTTCTCAAAAGTGTGTATTACAAATTTATGCGCTTTCATCAGATAAATTACCTAATACTATGACTCAAAACTCTAATAACACCCTATAATATGAAAAAAGGGCGCAAGAGTTTATAACAGTTACAAATCCACCTATACGTTTTTTGTCATGTCCAAGTCATTGAACGAAAGAATAAAATATCAATGTTAATTTAAGCAGGGGGGGGGGGTGGTATTGTTTAAAAAGCGATATATATTTTTTTCATCTAGTCCTAAATTGATCAATATTTTTTTGAAAAAAAAATTACAAGTTTAATTATTAAAAGCCCATAGGTAAAGCTCACTATATATATATATATATGAAACGCTCGAAGAATTGCATAACGATCCCTTAGTTGAGTCTTACGCAGGAGTTTTGCTAGCCTTTTTGCAAATGGAGTGTTAAAAATGTGCCAATTTATTTTTTAAAATGTGTCTACAATTTTTTTTACTCTATTTATATATCATTTATGGGGGGCTTCACCCTCAATACTCCTTATAACGATTCGTCCGCTTCTGCCCAGCCTTAGACCGGTCTATGGCCTAAATTTAAATTTTCTACTTTAATAATATACAAGTATTCGCTAATCAAAATAATATCTAGCAGTAGAATCCCAAATCCTAACTTATAGAAATCTTTTGGATAACTCCAATCTAAAAGCTTTTATCATTTTCTTATCAAAAAAAATAGAAGAATATTTTTATTATGTTTGTCCCTTGATTTTCAATATTTTTTTCAGAATTAAAATGCGAAAAAACGAACATTAAATTAATCGGATAATAGGCACAACCTTTTGAATATTCAAAAATCAGTGCGAAAATGAATGTATATAAAATTTTATAATATAATATATTAAAATTTTTTCCATTTTGTTTTTGCTTGAAACAAAAAAATTAGAAAATTAGAAAATTATAAAAATAAAATGTTTTAATGCCATAAGGAAAATAATATTTATTCCAGAAAAACGCTATTTTAATATTTGTTTAATAGGTGTTAATTATTTTTTAAAAAAATAGAGGGTTCTAATCCATTTTTCAAAATTAGTTTTAATCTTAAAAAGAGAATGTTATAGCACCCAAAGCACGCAGACAGCGACTCTATTGCTCTTATGGCAATAAACCAAAAGACGAAGTCAAAAAAATATATAGTAGTATTTCGATTGGTAAATGATATAAAATTTATAGGTAAACTTATGCAAAATTCTTAGAGCATCCTTGCCTCCAACCTCCAACAGGACTTGACTCCATACTCATAAATATTAAAATATTCGAAGAGGAGAGAGAAATAGAGTTAATTTTTAATAAAATTCTTATAAAAAATAAACATCGTGTTTTAACTCTTAAAAAAATTTTTAATATATATAATTATAATAATACACATGATATATGTTAATCAATCGATTAAAATATTAGATTTCCCTTATTTTAAAATTAAAAATTAATTAATTTTGAAATTATTTAAGTTAATTAACCTTCAAAAATATGTCAAAATTGTGAGTTAAAATTGCGGGAAGGGGGGGGGGGTGTATTCAAAAATTGAACTTTTCCTCGTATCTTTTGAAGACCGCTAATTTATTATAATATATGATGTTTTATTAAAATCATAAGTAAGTCACTTATTTTTAATAAATAATAAATATGGAACCTAATCTACTTCTTATTATTAATTCGACATATGAAAATGTCTAATTTTGACATATTTATGATTATTTATGATTAATTATTTATTAATTATTATTTTGGACTTAAAAATATTCGAGCACCGGAAAAATTATTATTAATTAATAATTATATTAAATTTTTTTCATAAAATTATCATTCAATATTTTGAGATTTTTAATAATTATAGTAGCTTTTATAATATAACATAAAAAGTAATACTATATTTATTTAATATTTGTAAGTTTATCTGTATGTAATACCAATACCTATATTAGAAATACATATTATAATTTTTTTTTTAATATGATAGATAGATATGTAATATTAAATATTAATTAATTATTGGATTGGGGAAAAAAATAAATAACATTTTATAGATTTGTCAAAGCTGTTCTTATTATTTGCAAATTAATCTAGATATTTTAAAACATTTTTTTTAATAATGCTCTCAATTTTGAATAGAAAAATGTAAATTTTAAAGAAATAATTCTTTTTGAAATAAATATATAATTCTTTGTGATAATGGATGAGCCGATCACGGCCTCATTTACCAACAAATTTATCATCATTTCTATGTACGTGTTAATAATAGTATTAGGCTTCGTTGGTAATATTTGTCTATGTTACGTTTTGGTAAAGGTTCTCCACGTTTCATTCGATTCATTTCTGACGAAGCTAATCAATAAAAAAATCGCCAATAGTCGAATCCAGTTTCACGAGCTAATTTCCTCGAAACGCGAAAGCTCAGGAATTCGCATATCTAAAAAAATTGATAATAGGCGGAGCAGCTTGAAAATCGTTCTATGCGCTCCCACAAATTATTTCATCCTCAATTTGGCCATCGCTGACCTCTGCATGGTAGTAGTGTGCGTCCCATTTAATATGATAAGCGATTATATACTAGGCTATTGGCCATACGGTTCAAATTTATGTAAAATCATATCTTTCTTACAAGCCACATCAATCATGGCGAGCGTTTTAACTATGACTGTTTTAACTGTGGATAGGTATATGACGATCATGAGTCCGATAAATTCTAAAAGACGAATAACTATCTCGAGAGCAAAATTTATCATCATTTTAATATGGTTCATGTCTTCTTTCATATCACTTCCCATACCATTGGTGTCTCGTTTAGAGTTTTTTCCGAGTTTAACGAAAAATATCCAACAGAAACCTCTTGTTAATAATACCACGATTCTCAGCAAGATTTTGCTTAATCATGTTATAATTGATCGATCTTACGAGAGCAGAGAATCATCTTTTGTAAAGAATGCAAATCTAAATAATATTTATCGTGTTGGAAACGATTCCCATTCTAAAAATTTTTTAATGGATGCGCACCAACCAAATCCCAAATCTTACACCTTTTGTAGAGAAGACTGGTTTAAAAATAGAAACAAGATTATATTTAGCGCTGTATGGATGTTTTTTCACTACGTGGTTCCATTTGGTACCCTTTTATTCGCCTATATAAATATTGGTAAAAAATTGAATTCTTCTAACTTATCTACAGAATTCGACGGTCATTATGAGAAAGTACAAAAATCACGAATAAAAGTATAATATATATTAATTTTTAAAACTTGGTAAATCATTATTATTCTATTTATCACATTATTTATAATATTTTATGATATTTGGAACAAAAAAAAAATAACACAAGAAAAAAATCTTTCTAAAAAAATTTTTAAATTAACATCGCATATTTTTAATTTTGATTTAATTTAAATAAATGGATTAATTTTTTTTTCATTCCCATCTCTCTTCTTTATCATTTTGCAAGCAAAGATCATTAACTTATTTATATTAAATAAGACTGTTTCTGTGATATAAATATATAGAGTAGGGGATACCGGGGCACATTGAGTTAAGGGAGCGTTAGTTCACTCCAATTATAATTTAAGCTATTAATTTATAAGACTGAAAATTTAAGCCTAATAAAGATAATTACTACAAGATTGGCTAAAAAAAAAATTTGAAAATATTTAGTATTTTAATTTTTACAGAGGAAAACGTGTTTTATATCATACCAAAAATAACAAAAAATTATTTCAAACATTATCGCTTAGATTCAAAAATAATTCTTTTAAAATCTCTTAATAAATGCGTTTTAGGAAAGTTAAAGTTTAATCTGACAATTTTTAGAATTATAAAACATGAATTTATATGATTCTGATCTGAATGATATTTATAAAGTGAGTGAGCTAGGTTTTTTTTTGATTAAAACAAATGCAAATGAGTATTTATCAATTTAAAATATTAATTTTTAATAAATAAACTTTATTTAATATTTAATTTTTGTTTTACAAAAATTTCTAAAATTTCTTTAAATCTCCAAATTATTATTAAATTTATTTAATTATTGCGTATTATGATAAATTAAATATATAAAGAAAATTTAATTTTATATTTAGAACCCTATTTAATTTGTGGATCAATTATCATATATTGATGTTCCAACTTACCTAAAGTATGGCATGGAGCCTATACTTTTAGGATTCTTAATATTTATTAATTCAGATTAATTAAATACTATTGAATTAAATCAGGTTTTGAATGAAAAGTGTCCCAACTTTTAACCATTTCTGGTCTCCCCTATATGAAAATATTCTATCCTTGTTATAAAACATATATGATTACCATTAGTAGACTACCTAAGGACCTTCAATAAAGTTTATTAGGAGAGAACCCAATTAATAGTACCACCTCCTTCTCCCTTCCTCCCCAGCAAAATCATGGTTACGCTGGTGACAAAGCATTAAGTGTAGAAAAATGGAATTAATGATTAATTGTTGTTGGATCATCGTTTCTAACTTATTCTATTTTTACAATAGGTTTTATATTCTTTCTGTAAAAATTAAAATACTCGCGTCGCGTTTGCAGTTGTTTGGAGATCAATGCCAGAATAAATTTGCATAACGTGGGACTTTTTTTTATCTAATCGAAATGTGTATAAATTAATTCAAAAATAATTTTATTTTGGAGTTATCCCAATACTTTACTCGATATCTAACTTCATTTTCTGTAACTTTTAAATTTAAAAAAACGCGCTCAATTATACATTGCCATAAAAAAAAGATTGCCGCTAACGCTAACATATATATTTTTTTTGGTAAGATTATGGTTTGTGAGCCATAATTACCATTGGCTATCTTATTTATATATCTGTCATATGATTGGTTGATATTTATTTATTTTTTTTTAAAATATTTTAAATTTTTTTAAATTTTCTATAATAAAAATATCATTTCAACAAAAAAAATATTTTTTAAAGAAAATAAGTGCCAAAATTAACAACCAATGGTTTTCGATAATAAAAATAACAATCAACAAATAAATATTGAAAAAAAAATAAAATATAACTAATCATATGACAGATAAATAAATAAAAGATACTCAATGGTAATCATGGCTAACAGTCGATAATCTTACCTAGTGTTGTTGAACAGCTCGATTTGAGCCAATTTTTAAAAACGGCTAACTCAATATTTTATCCAGAAATTATTCCGCAAGTCTGAAGATTTTAATTATAGATATGGGACAATGATTTGGACATCTATTAGCGGCTAAAATATTGGGTTAGCAAAACTATTCTTACTATTTTTTTTAGGCCGGAGTGTAGTATCTATCATTGTGCAATATTTTTTTTAATTATGATAATACAATTTCATACTGATGTATTGTTTTTCCTTTCGATTTTCTATCATTATAAGTTTCGGCTCAGGCAGCCTATACTTCCCTTATAGCACTGTTACTTAAAATGATTCATCTACATTCATGTTCTTAGTTTAAAATGAAAACGGTTCTTATATCGATTAATTTCTTTTTATAAATTTAAATTATTTTCGGTTTCTTTCCTCCGATTTTTTTAAAAAATATGTTTTGATTTTTAAATAAATTAAATTAATATATATATTTAATTTTTTTTTAAATTGAATATTAACGTAATAAAAATATAGACCAGAAAACAATTTCTTTATTTTAATTTTTTATATTATATTATATATATGTATAAGATGTTTTTATTTTGCTAATTCATAATATAAATTTTAATCATTTATAATAAATTAATACAAATTTAGTAATTATATTAATAAAAAAATAAATATATTTTTTAATTATACATTAATTAGTTATAAAAGAAACAAAAAAAAGGAGAAGGGGGGGGGTAAACAGGCACAGAAAGTATTGAAGTTAAATCTAATCATCTTGTGGGATGAGGCTGCCTATGAAACTAATGTAATTAGCCTTGTGAATCGTGGCGAGTCTTTGCCTTAAGAAGAAGCCTTCGCGAGGTTCTTCGGTAAGTTTGCGTATGTGAGAGCCAAGTTTCTTGAAAAAAAATAAAGCACATTTCCCAAAAGTTGTAAGGGTTGTGGAAATGATGGGAATGAATATGTATTTTTGAGAAAATTCAGAATATTTAGCTATTTTAAGTAACTCCTTTTTCTCAAGAACGTTAAGGGTTTGATTGGATGATGTCAGAGAATCAGTACACTTAATCCCAGACTAAGAATTGACCACGCTTCCAAGGAATTTGAGAAATCCCATCAGAACGTTTCCCATCGGATCTGAAAAGACCAGAAGGTTCAAGAATAGAGGGAAATTGAGCAGATCTCAAAACTCTAAGGAGTATTGAATTGCATAAATTATGTCTAACGATACGACCTTTGCATGAACGGTAATGGAAGCTCTGTCTTCCTTTACCCAAAACGGCTGAACTACACCCTGAACATGTTTGGGGTTTGGTTATTATAAAAACGCGAAAAAAAACTTTAACAAGCCCACCATATACATATAAATACTATTTATTGTTTAAATATTTTAAATCATTTAAAATAAATAAATATAAGTGTTATGGCGAATTTCCGCAAATGTAGTTGCATCTGTATTATTTATTATTTGAGAATATTTTTGTATTGCAATCGATGTTGATATACTCCCCTGTACTGACTTATATGAATGAAATGATGTTGATTTATTATTGGATAAAAATAAAACAGGATAGAAAGAAATTTACAAATTAGACATGTTTTTCGAATAAATATTTAAAATTATTTTAAAAATATAAAAATCATCAATTAATGTCTCTCAAAATTATTATTTATATATTAAAAATGTTTAAAATACTTTAAAAAAAATTACGGGAGAAATTAAAAAATTGCGGTAGATTTTTGCGGGAGATTTCCAATTGCGGTAGTTTTGCGGGAGAGAGATGTCTGCGTGCAAACTAAAAAATTGCAGGAGTCTCCCGCTGATGGGGGGGGAACATGGCAACCCTGTTCCGCCACCATAGTTCTTTGTATGATTCTCCCCTTAAGTCTAGTGTCGATTTGGCAGTGTCTATTAATCTGGATGAAAGGTCTGTCCACAGTTTTGCACTACTTGTGAGGAATCTATTGTTTCAATGTTTGCATTGATTGCAAAGGCCCCTGTCATTGTTTTTAATTTACCCCATTTGATGCATGGTTCAAGTTTTATCTTATTTTGAGTGGAGTACCATATTTTATATAGGGCTTTTTTTCTCGCTATAGTGGTTTGTACCTCTTCATTCCACCACCATAGTTCTTTGTATGATTTGTTGCCTCCCCTAGCCTAGTGTCGATTTGGCAGTGTCTATTAATCTGGATGTAAGGTCTGTCCATATTTTTTCACTGACTTATGAGGAATCTATTGTTTCAATGTTTGCATTGATTGCAAAGGCCAATGTCATTGTTTTTAATTTATGCATGGTTCATGTTTTATCTTATTTTGAGTGTATTTATTTGAGATGTGTATATCCATGGCTAGTAGCTTGTGTTGCGCGGCTATATCTTCTCCTGGGATGACTTTGCAGTCTATGACATCTTTTAATCTTCTGCAAGAGATTAGCATGTAATCTATCTATGTTTTCCTTGTACCACTTTCATATGTTATTAAATGACTGTTGTTGGTTAAGGCAAGTATGCCTTTTGTAGCTATCTCTTGCTTTTCCCACATGCGCATTTAAGTCACCACCTATTATGACTAGGTCATCCTTTGGAATTTCCATTATAGCTTCATCAAGGATAGCTCTAAAGTCATCTTTCTCCTCTTTTTGCAACCCGTTTGAGGAGCATATACTGAAAGGATGTGTAGTATTGATTGACCAATGCAAAGTTTTAACTTCATTAAAATATCAGAGATCCTGTTGACTTCTACTATTGAGGAGGTTAGATCTTGACTGAAGATTATGCCGACACCGTTCCTATTGCTAACAATTTCATTATAGTATAATTTATACCCATCTCAATCATTAAAGTCTTCTGACCTTTCCATTTCGTCTCTTGTATGCACGCTATATTAACTTTTCTCTTGATACCAATTCTCTGTCGTACCTTTAAGTGTCCCAATATTCAAACTTTCTAACTGTTGTAGCAGTTAGAAAAAAGAAGAAATAATATAATATACTAAATGGTCAGTCAATTTTTCTGTTTAGTATGTTTTGCTTATATATTATATTGTCAATATTAATGTTCCATAGATTACAAATATGGATACCACGATGTAAATGTCATTATTGTTAACATTTTTTTTCAGCGATT